TGCCCACTGCCCCTTGTCCTGTCACTGGGCACCACTGAAAAGAGCTTAGCCCCATCCTCCTGACACCCACCCTTCAGATATTTGTAAGTATATATTAGGTCCCCTCTCAGCCTTCTCTTCTTCAGGCTGAACAAGCCTAGCTCCCTCAGCCTCTCCTCGTAGGAGAGATGTTCCAGTCCCCTCATCATCCCCATCCCTGGAGGTGTTCAAAAAACGTGTAGATGTGGCACTTCAGGACATGGTTTAGCAGGCATGGTGGTGTTGGGTTGACGGTTGGTCTTTTCCAACCTTAATGATGCTATGATTCCAGGTAGCTTAGCATCTCCCCTCTCCCCCAGCGCTGTCGGGCAGCTGGCTTTCGTTTTTCAAACGGCACCACCAGATCTTGAAAAACGGAGGGATCATTACGGACTCTGGAAAAAGCTCTTTCCTGGGATGCTGATGGGTTTGGTTTTTCTCTTGCGGCCACGTGCGTTATTTTCTAGGGTGGCTTTAACGTTAAGAACAACTGCAGGACCGTCCCGCCCAGCGCCTTGTCTCTGGCTGTGGCCCTAGGCAGATGCCCGGGGAAGAGTGTAAGAAGAGAGCGAGCGCGATGCGATGCTTCCCCGGCCTCCTGTGACCTTTAGCTTAGGGACTTCCTGTCTTTGTTTCTAAGAACCCTTGAGGGATTTCTCTTTTCACGGATCTGTCCAACCGGTGAACCTAAAAAAGGGGGAAAAATTGCAAAGATTTTTCGATACTGCGGTTTTCAGCTGTACCGCATAAATACAGTCCCTGCGGGGCTCGTGGGGCTGCTCGTGTCAGTGATGATGGGAGAAAAGATTGTCATTAACATGATTCTCTTTCTTTTTAAGCTCCGAGTTGTCATCCCAGATGTTTCGATTCTTCCTGAAGATTTAGAGGAATTGTATGACTTGTTCAAGGTTGGTCCCCCTGATAAGCAGGGGATGCACCTATTTGAGGCTTCTGGGTGTAACTTCCAGCTGTTGCTTAGCAGAGCCTCCTCGGACCTCGTGTCCTCTGCCTGGGAGACGCTATTTGGGTGGGATCTGGTCATTCTGTCCCTTCTGTGGTTGCCTGGTTGTTAAAGAGGAATAATAATGTATTGATCCTTCAAAGGAAAGTTGCTTCAGTTTCTTTTCTAACTTGCTGCTTGGAAATGGCCCATGAGAAATTAGGTTCTGGTAACTTTCACATGCGGAGTACATCAAATAATACGTAGCTCTGCTCACTGGGAGGTCTGCAGTACTTTTAAGTCTTGCTCTGCTGTTGCTCTTTAAAGGCAGACTCTGTTTTCTGTGAGGAAAAAATCCCCGTGAACTTGTGTCCTTGCTATTTGTTCTCAATTTTCTAACAGTTTTAATTTTTATTTTCTTTAGAACTAAAAGAAGTTTCTACTTCAGTTCCTTTCTGTCAAAGTTGATGTTTGATAGAACTGTACAGAAGTTATTTGGAGACAGGGACAGCTAAGTTTATGCAACTATACTTGATTTTGAGGTGCAAGCATGTAATTATCGCCCGTAATAGACAATTTCTTTGGTGTATTGTTCATAGCCATAAATAGTAGGTACTAGGAATATGACTGTGGCGTGTTCTTACTGTTGTGTAGCTTTGTGGCTATCAGCAGCTGTATTCTTCCTCCATTAGTGGTTGTAAGATGATGCTGCTGGGGCTTGCTCTTCAGTGCTTCCCTCCTGCTCCTTGCCGCTCTGTTTTTCAGCTTTGGCTGGCTTGCACTCCTCCTGTTTCCTCATTTCATTTCTTGGTGGTGGTTCCTTTTTCGTCGGCTCCCTTGCTCCCCCGGGACAGCTTGTTAGGACTTTCTCTTTTGCATCAGCCTGTCCCTAAGGGAAGACTGATAGGTACGGTATCCAACGGGAGAGGTCCGAGAGAGAACGGATGAGCAGGTCAAGCCCATGTAACGCTTACCCTGGATTTTCTCTGACCCTCTGTACCTTTGGCTGGTTAGAGACATCCCAGGCCAGATGTGGCTAATGGAGTTCCGTAGCCTGCAGTGAATTTCTTCCAAGAATCTGCCTGGTCTCCCTTCAAATTTATTAATTATCCACTGAAAATCATGAGAGCGCTTGACTGCTCTAATTACAGATTCATACTTTGCTCTTTCTCGCAGGGATGGTCTTGGTATCGCTGTAACACTTCACACAAAGAGAATGTTGAGCCTTTCCAGCACACGTTGATGTGAATGCCTTTTTCTGCCGATTGCGCTCTCTCTGATACCGCTCACCGCAATCCCCCCTCTCCCGCCTCCGATTTCTCCTAGAGGGAGCACTTAATAAGGTGTTACTGGGAAATGCCGAGTCCGGTGGTGGAGCGACACGACCCCAGCAGGCCCTACGCCGAGCAGTACCGCATCGATGCCCAGCAGTTCGCCAACCTGTACCGGCTGGTCTCGCCCTGGACCTGCGGGGAGCACACCGACGTCCTCGCCCAGAGGACCTTCCGGCTCCTGGATGAGAACATGGACCGGCTCGTGGAGTTCAAGGGGCTCGCCAGCTGCCTCGGTACTGGCTGGCCTGCGGGGTGGAGGGTGGGCAGAGCCCGGGGCGGCACGTGGGTGAGACGCGGACGTTAAAATGCCATGCAGCTCCCAGGGGAGGGTGCGGGCACGTGGTTTTCTTGCGCTTGTAATTAGCCTAACCAGTCAGCTTTACTAATTTTCTGTGTTCCAGTCACCTGAAGTGTCCCTGCCCATGGCAGGGGGGTTGGAACTAGACGATCTTCAAGGTCCCTTCCAACCCAAACCATTCTATGATTCTGTGAAGTGATTAGATTTAAAGGACAGTCTAAGGACATGATTGAGTATTGTATTAAAATACTTGATTACCTCTGAAATCTCAGTATCCCTCTTCGTAACTGCTTCTTGAAGACTTAATCTTGCACGACTGACTGCTGCTTGCCTGATATGTTGACAATAAGGAGAACAAAAAAAAAATCTGGCCAGCAGGGACTGAGAGCTGCGCTAGGGATGGCCTTGAGGCCACCAGCTGTTCTAATGAGAGGAGGCTGCCCGCCCCATCTCAACTGTTGCCCCGGCCCCAAGTGAAAAAACATGAATCGATGTTCAGAGCTTCAGTAAAAATCAGTAAATCCAGATTCTCATCACTTAAGCTTTCTCGAATTTTTTTTTGTGTGAAAGAAGCCAACCTGTATTATATTGTTGCATGGTTTTCAGTCTTAGAGGGATACAACTTTTAAAAGTTCGTCACAGTATTTCAGTGCATTTGAAAGTTTAGAATCTCATTTCTACTGGTCATTGAAAATAGGAATTATGTTACATGTGAAGTAGTTACCTCTTTTGGGCTTATGCTACAGAACAGCAGTAAGGGCTGAAGGGGAAAAATATTAAGAACGTGATGGCCCCAAAGGGAGTTTTCAGTCTCTCACCTCTCACAGTCCCGTTAATCTGTGGCAGCAAACAGCCCTGCCATTCTGCTTGGTATTTTTAAACTATGCTGAAGCTCCACAGGGTTAGGTACTCCCAGTCTATTTTACACGAACAAAGGCCAAACCAGATGGCTCTCCCCTGCTGTTCCTGATGGACAGGCACAACGTAAAATATTTCAGTGTAATATCTTGGCCATATGTTTTCATGTATTGTCCACGCAAACAATTCTCCTTTGTGAACAGAGATGCATGATTTATTTTAAACTGTGGAAGTAAATGCTCTGGTCCGCTTCCTTCATGTTCTTTTTTTTTTTTTTTTTTGCAGATGTTATGTATAACGGAGAAATGAATGAAAAGATAAAGTTACTATATAAGCTGCATATCCCACCTGGTAAGAAATGTGACAGGGGGTGAATACCTCAGTTTGCTTGAAACTCTTGCTTAAAGCTTTTGGGAAAAGGCTGCTTACTGAAGAGCCCTGTCTTGCTTCCTTCATTCACCTGGGAGCATATAGGATTTGCGTTTGTAGTTAGGCTTGCTGCAGTTTAAAATTTACTCCAGTCAAACACTTTTTAGGTGAAACTTGTAGATGTACAATGTTAAGGCTCACATCTGCTGCATTCAGAGACCTTTTGAAGTCAATTATATGGTTACTTCCAGACAAAATATTGTCCTGGAATAACATTTCTGGATGGCTGGTGCTCCACGTACAGTAGAAATCTCATCACATCTTGATCCAGTTCTGATTAGGTGACAAAATTCTGTGCTGGTTTCTCTGTGCAAAGTTTTTACTTAAATGTGCCACCCTTGGCAAACTTCCAACTCTCTCACTGCAGCACCAGTCTTACTTACAGTAACATAATTTACGGTATATTTGATGAAGTACTGTTTAAAAACATCTTTGCCCAATTATTTTGCTTTCTTCAAATATGTAAATGTTAAAAGCATAAATAACCACTATGCAGCATTGGAAGGATTAATCGTTACATTTTTTCACTTTTTTTGGCCAGCTCTCACAGAAGATGAACGAGACAGCCAGTCACCGTTAAAGAATCCTTTGCTGTCAACTTCAAGACCGCTAGTCATTGGAAAAGCAAATGGTATGTCCAGAATGGCTCTCTGATGTGAGGGCATGAGATAGCCAACTCCATTATCTCCACTCTGTTTTATTTTGAAATGTCAGTGTAGTCCAGCGACTTGAAAACTAGTTCTCCTTTTTTTGTCTGTCCCAAAAAAGGTGATGCAGTAGATTACCAAAAGCAGTTGAAGCAGATGCTGAGGGATCTAGCCAAAGAAAAGGATACTAAAACTGAAAAAGAATTGCCAAAAATGAGCCAGGTATGTATACGAGGGGCTATAGTCTGTTTTTAAAGAAGCGGAGAGTACTCAGAAATGAAATGACTAAACACAACAGCTTAGCTTTTTCTGAGAAAAGGTAACTTAAGCCTGAGCTTAGATTCAGTCCTTTAGATATCAAGGACTGGGCTCCCTCACCTGCAGCCTAACAGGCCGGAAAACAGGTGCATTCCGTCTGGAAAACGCCCTGCTGCCAAGCCCAGAGAATTCCTGAGAATGCGCATTGCTGTTCTGCCTTCCCTGACCTCCTCTCCGCCAAACCAGTAACTGCTTAGTCCGTCACCAGCTGGGACTTGCCCCGTCACAGCCAAACGCTGACTAGAAGTGCATTAAGACAGACAGCTGAAGGCCCTCAGCAGCTTGCTGTCTCCTCCCCAGTGCCAGCAGAGCTCTGTGAATGCTGTTGGCGTGAGGAAACCTACTGGAGGGAATAGGGTCCTGCATTAGTAAAACAAACGTACGGATATACAAAGATAGATGGGGCTACACCCAGAGTTCCTTCTGTGCTCGCGTTTGCTAAAGAAAGTTCTAAATTCCTGGTATGTACCTCGCCTTTCAGCTCAGCAGGCCAACATAATCACTCACAAAGGCATCGCTTGATGGAACTGCTCAGGTCCCTCCACCCTGAATTGCCCATCCTGTGAGCGTATGAAACTCGAGGGCTCACAAATTTTGTCATAGTGTATGGAAACACCCTCGCATAGCCTGGGAATCGTGTGTGGTGGGTGAGTGAGGGAAGGAAGGAGAGAAGGGGGTTGCGCAGGGGAAACGTCTGAATTTTATTAGTAGAAGAGCTGGGGAAAGATGGGAGAGAAGCAGCAGAAGAGAAGTTGCTTGCGTGTCTGCAGACGGCTACTTTGGTTGCAGTTCGCTCTGTGTAATAGCCACCAGTTTCCCACCAGTAACAGACTGTGCCCCTTGCCTTCTGTCTCACTTGCCCTTTGGCCAGCTGGGAGGTCCTGATCTCCTCCGTCAAGGCTGCAAAATACTTTTCTGCTTTGTTCCCTTTTTGATCTGCAGCACCACGGTTTCCTGGCATCAGTGGGTGGGCTGAAATCCCTTTGCTAACGTTTTTTAAAATGAAGGCAGGAGTTATGAACGCTGCAGTCTGTAGGCAGCACTCTGCCTTCCTTTGCAGTACTGTGCCCTCGCCCGACTCCTGCGGTTACCCATAGCGTGGCTGTTCAGCTGTTTGATTTTGGTTTTTCATCCTCTACAGAGGGAATTCATTCAGTTCTGCAAAACCTTGTACAGCATGTTCCATGAAGATCCAGAGGAGAACGACCTGTATCAAGCCATTGCCACTGTGACCACACTGTTACTGCAGATCGGAGAAGTAGGACAAAGAAGCATCAGCCTGGGAAGCGGCTCGGACGAGTTCACGGAGGACTTGCAGCCCGAGGCCTCTGCGTTGGAGCAGGATGCCGTTTTTACTGACACTGTGAAGACCCCTCACAAAGACTCTCAGCCTTCACCTGTGCCTGAAGTGGACTGGACTGTCTCTTTTGAACATATTTTAGCATCCCTCTTGACTGAGCAGTCGTTAGTTAACTTCTTTGAAAAACCCTTGGAACTGAAGCCAAAACTCGAGAATGCAAAGCTGAATCAGTACAGTCTCAAAACAAATGGAATGAGCTGCCACTCACGGGGCGAACACGCAAAGGTAAACACACAGCAGTAGCAAATCCATCAAAAATGAAATGCACTGAAATTACGCCAAAGCACCTACTGTAAGAGGCTTTCAGTTAGCAGTGGACTTCTGATAAAGAAATTGTTGGTCTGTGGTTTTCAGTTTAAGAGCTTTAAAAGCTAAGGGTGTGTACGTTTGTTTTGTGCCACTGATTTATTAATTATGTTCTTGTTTTGAATGTAAAAGGAAACATCTGTCTACAGTGTGAAGACACCGAAGCCCTCTTCCGCACAGGGAGAGCAGAGGCTGGCTCCAGTTGTCCCTTTTTTTTTTTTTTTTTAAAACAGGGGAAAACACTTCTCAGCTACTGTCCGCAGTTTGTTTGGGTTGCCTTTTTTGCACTAATACTGAAAACTGTTTCAATGCTGGTAATTGAAACTATTTTAATATATTTGATTGTATTCCAATTTGTATGTCTTGCTGAAATGTTAAGTGTACATGGACTGTGCTTCTGATGTTGGTCTGTGAAAACATGCACTTTTCAATAAACCCTTTTTGTACTAGACTTGCACTGACAGTATTGATTGATTTATGGGCGGTAAGTGCTTTCAGTCCCTACTTCATTAAACAAATTCCCTGAGCTAGCGCACTCACAATTAATTCACTCTCAGAACAGAACCCCACCTTTCAGTGTAGTGCACAGACCTGCTTGGGAGAAGCCTACTGATTCCGCCGAGGAGACCAAGGGGGGCCAGATACCAGGAGTTTACTTCATCCACACGAGATGACATAGATGAAATATTGATCTAACAGTTTGGGGAATTGTTTCGGGTTTCTTTGGGGGGTGGCAGCATTTTTCTGTTTTTTTAAAACAAACTTGGTCTTAATTTGAAACACCTGTGTAGTGGCTCTTTATTCCCATAGGAACAAAACAAGAACACTAGGACTTCGCCACTCACATAGGAACATTGGCATCTCCCTTATTCCATTCACATGTAACAGGAGTCTACCGTATCTTTAATTAAGAAAATTACACCATTATGTACAAGCCCAAAGAAAACAAGATCCTTTAACACTCTGTCATCTGTTCTTTCCAACACTTCATGGAGGAGAGCTTGAAGAGACTGGACAATACAAAAAAAAAAACTTAGGAGTAAACTTTCTTTTTGTCCTTTTATTGTAATGAAAATAAGCTTAATTTTCATCCACATTGACAGTCTGTAGACCTGCAAAACAAGAAACTGTATCACCACCTATTACTAGGACAGTCCCCTTTACGTACATGTAATATACGTATATTCACAAGAAAGCGCACCTACAGTTTCAAAGTTAGTTTGCTGCTCTGCTTCTGGAAGAGCAAACTATATAGGCAAGTATTTCACCAAAAGTTAAAACAAAAACTTCATGTTAAATCAATTCTGCAAATAAGATACTCCTCAGGTGACAACCGTAAAAGGCTCAACCTGCTTGATCGAGCTTTTGACATCAGAGGACATACTTTATATAGGAAAACACAAACCTTAAACTGCCCTAACAACTATGGCCAGTGGTTTTTATTCTCTAAAAATTTACAGGATTATTCCACTAAATTCTGTATTTGCTTTTTAGTGCTGATCAGGCAAGCCAGCAGCCCTGCTCTCTACAGCAGAGCTCATTTAAGCCAGCAGTCTGACCCCTTCAGCGTGCTTTTCATCTGAATTTTCCATTGCAGCAGGAGCTGTCCCACTTTGCTACTTGTTCAGAAAGACATGGGACGGAGGAAGAGATGGCACGCAGCCTCACCTTTGAATGTTGTCACTGGTACGTAGGTAACCAGCGTGTATAGCTTGTTTGGCGAATCTTCATCCTCATTGCGCTTTCTGGACAAACGCACACGGATACGGTAAGGAACATTCCTAAAATGAAGACGACAGATTAATTTTCAGTAAAATAGGTACTGGAACATGTTAATTCATAGAAAAGAAAAGTTCTCTGCTCCATGGTTACTATCCTCCCCTCCCCCCAGATTCTCAAGCTTTGCCTATCTGTGCGAAGAGGTGATGAGTCAATTCTTTTTCTATCTCAGCATCATAACAAGCGAAATCCTGTACCTTAGAGACTGTACTGTTTGCCTTAGCGGAGAGTTTTGTTTTGTTAAAGTGAGCCTTCAATAAGATGAATACATAATCCAGTGGGAGCATGAAGTCAGAAGTGCACCATCAGTCCACTACTGATCGGGGAAATACACTATGAAAATCATCATGAAGCACAGCGTGAATATGATCAGCAAGCAGGTGTTACTAACAAGCTTTTCTTACTCAAATAAGAAACAGTGAGGAAAAAAAAAACAACAAACAACAATCTGCTCTGAAAGCCTGAGGCCCCTGTCAAGAGTCAGAGTACTGCCCAATCTGTTTCCAGAAGTCATGGGGAAATTCTAGCGGGCATTAGACCTGAACAAGATCTTGTTTATGGGCATACAATTCATCAACATTTCTTCCTCGCAAAGCTCATGGAACTACAGCTAAATTGCTTACGTGATTTTGTTTATATAATAGGCAAGTCACAGCTTAATGTCCTCCCCTAATGCTGCCCAAAATATGCTGCTGAGGGAAGGCACAAAATTAACTGTCCACACCATTTTTCAAGTAACCTCCCACGTCGAACTCAGGATTTTGGGAAACTCCTGCTCAGAGTACTTTGCTCCACAGAATACAAGAAGGGACTTCCTCCCTGCTGGACACTCTGAGAGCAGACTTACTAAATCAGATGGAGACAGTAAGTAAGACACAGACCTTGCTTCGATTCACTCCCTTCTTGAAACAAGTCAAAAGCATTTTTCACTACTTCACATGGATCATTGACTATCACACTAGCTGACACGGTGATTTTAGCCCATCCTGATCCTTCCAAAGGAAGGTACGTTGCTTTGCATATATCATCCATTCTAACTAGTGGAAACTGCAATGAAACTCATGCTGTAAAGACAGATGTGATGACTCCCTGCTCCACAGTTAATTTTGTCTTGGTTAAGCAAGTATTGGTTAGTAGCCTCACTACTAAGCTCTGAAGTTACGCTGTCACCTGGCTCAGTGGCTGTTTCTTCACTGGACGTGAACTGGAACAGCTCAACAGGAAGGACAGAGAAACCCTGCCAGAAGACCCAGTAACTTTGTCCCATCTTCCCACTCTGTCTTTGAAGGAAGGGTTGGCCTAAGCACACAACCCCAGGTAAAGGACTGTAAATACGTCATAGGCTGGACTCGGGAATCTAATTCCTAGAAGACATGGTTTAAAACAAGGGTTCACGCATATCCAGTGTATCACTCACAGTATAAATTCCTACCAGTCAACCTTTTATTATGGTGTAAGAGGTCCCACTCCTCACAGGAATCCCTTTGGACCATCTTCACACCAACGCCACATCGGCTGCCTCTGTAGCAGCTATTTAACAGAAGTTGTAATTTTTCGGCACCCAAACTATATGTACTTTCACAACAAGATTAATGGCCCTATTTAAAACACACCTCATTATTTCTTTCTGTAACGTTTATCAATTCAGCACGCTTCAAAACCTAACCCTGTTCAGACACGACACAAACCCCCGGTACTTAGCCTGGGACTGCACGTAGCACTAAAAGCCGTGTTTCTAGAAACTCTGCTACGATAGGGATGGGGGTACTACAGTATTGCAATATCCCAATCCTCCACCCCGCCCCAAACCCGCATTCCTTCTTTCCTTTGCTTTATTCTTATTAGAAGTAGAACAAAGTTCTTTCAACTCCAGAGTTCACCAATGCTTTGCTACAAGTACGCTGAGGGAGCTGACCAGAACACAGAGGTGATAGAAAGATTAGCTTGGCATGCACATCACAAGAAAGGAAGTATTTGCAATGAAAACGTAAGTACTGCCAGGATACAAATTTTTCTACCTCTCCAAGTCCTGCACCTCCACACTCTCAGTTACAAGGTTCTTCCTCACCCAGTCAGGGAAGTTGCAGAAACCTACCTTATTCCTTTAGCCCAGACGGCTTTGTTCAATCTGGTGTCAATGCGAACGTCAGGAGTACCCATTTCCTTCATGGCAAATTTACGGATTTCCTTGACAGCACGCGGTGCTCGTTTCTTGAAGCCCCTAGGACAAAAACAAGAGCCATTCCTCCAACTTCAGGAAACTGTCAGCATTGGACACTTGTTGCAGCATTCAACCACTGAAGTTTTCTAAACATAACATGGAAAGGACTGTGTTCAAACAGCAGTTCAATAGCACGGCCAGACCTCTGCTCTGGTAGGTAGCTGCTAACCTTGATGTCTATCCTAATAGAAACCACATAGCCTTACGTAGAATAATTTCAGTAAAATGTTGCAACTGCAAGATCTTCTAGATCTTAACTCTTATTTCTAAAACGCTGACATTAAAACTTATCGCAGTATTACCGAAAAGATCAGAGCTCTCACAAACACTCTGAATAAAAGGCCTATGAGAAAAGCAGTGCAACAGTAGTCGTACAAACTCCACAGAACTGTACCGGTATTGAAATAATCAGCAGAAGAACAACAATGATGCTATTCTGAGGAACAGCTCCTGCTAAACAGTATTTGACAGTTACTTCCTTAACGTTAGCAGGACTGCACCAACACCACCACTGGAACTGGTTTTTACAAGTAGCGCTTGTCTCATGCACAGTATGGACAGATTCTGCACGACTGGGCATCTGCACTGCAGGCAACAGCTGCGCTGTGAGTGCTTCGCCGCATGTATTACACTCAACCTGTGACATGCGACTAGTGTCAGCAGCGTCTGAGGTCCCACACTGCAAATATTTAGTATTATTTGCACACTTCTGTTGATATTTAACACTAGAAATCAGGAGTGGGTGAGTGACTGCGAGTGAGACTAGCCCTACACAAGAAGTACTTCATCCCCAGTGCTTCATGTCTAAAAAGAGGATAGCAGGATCATCATCATTAAGAACAGACTGAACTGCCATAAACAATCAACAGCCAAGGCCACAACATCTTTATTCCATTTAAAGGTACCACTGCCTCGAACCCTCACCCATAGTTGTGCAGTAGTCCACTGTTTCCTTTGTCTCCTAAGTTAAGTTCAGTAATGTCACCAACTGTTTTGATTCTGATATAGTTTTCTTCCACATGACTGCAGCCATACACATACAGAGAGAATCAGGGAGATGCAGTTTGTCAGCAAGTCCTCCCAAGCACTTTACT